ATCTTTTCACCAGAATCGAAGTAGATTACCTCGGAAACAGCGTCAGCATGAATCTTCCAGTAAAGCCAATCGACAGCTGGTCAAGAGGAATTGGCCGTCGTCTTCTGGTGGCACTGACCATTGAATCCCTTCACCCAACACTTTCACTCGAAATTGAAGTAAGCTACCGTCGTCTTCTGGTGGAACCGACCTTCGAGCCAGTAAAGCCAATCGACAGCTGGTCAAGAGGAATTCGCCGTCGTCTTCTGGTGGAACCGACCTTCGAATGTCTTCACATAACACTTCTACTCGAAATGGAAGTAATCCCAAAAATAAATATCAGACTGATGTTGAGAGATCGAGAAACTTTCCATTACTATATCCATGCTTTAAGTTCATCCTCTTTAAGTTGCTCCAGTTTTTATAGCCCTATACCAATTAAACCAGAATCAGGGGCTATAGAATTGCGTAAAATGCCGCCATATAAAGACGCGTCAGAATTAATTTTTAGCCGGTTACCGATAGAGCCTAAAAAGAAATCGAGGTAAAACTCGAATCTGCAAAATATAGGTTTTTGAGGGGCAATTAAATTAAAGCGAGTTCGACATCAAATGAAATAAAAACGAAAATGCGGACCAATTTTTAATATTGATACATATATACAAAATATAGATGCTCTTTCACATCAAGAGCCCCCATCAGTCTTGGTCTTTGCTTCAGAAGGAACAGTCTTGCGGTTGTATGAACGCTTGGTGTGAGTAGAATTCCAGCAGTCAATCACCCGCAGCTTCTGAAAAAGTTTACAGACAACAGTAGAACAATTCAAATTTGCTTAAGAAAACGGATAAAATGTAAAGAATGACTACGAAAATGAAGGATTCAACGAATGAACAAAGTGGTTATTGACACATGATTCCATCCTCTTATAAACTATGAAGAAAATATTGAGCTGTGAAGACATAAATAATTATTCATTTGTCAAAAATGGTGAGATATGTAATTATTCGTGTGAGGTTGATAAGAAGCAGGAGGATACCCGATTCGTGATTTGCTTGACATGTTCAAACAGGGCAATCGTTAGAGTATAAAAAAGTTGGCATAAAGTTTGTGAATATAAAATTTGGAGCAGTGGAAAAGTATTATCTTCGGATTTCCTAGTCAGTATAACAATGAGATAGATACTTTAGCCATAGTGACACTATGGTACAAGGAAGCAATAAAATCTCCTAATAAAAGGTAGTTCGCATACATTGTGAAGCTTTTCCATGTATAAGCAACTCTTCGAAATACCAGTAAATCTTATATGAGATCTGTGACCTTCTTTCGTATAAGATGAGTCACGACTGGTAGTTATATTTTCCCACAATGATAAGTAGGTTTCACGTTCCCATTGAATTTCATATGGCCTTGCTTCCTAGATGGTATTTCCATCCCGGATGGAATGCAGTTCGGACCTTGCATAGGCCTCATCAGCTCACCTTGCAGATTGCATAAGCTCTGCGACCCAAGAGCACTCGTAGCAATGTGGTTTAGTCATTAATTTGCCGAGAATATACGTTGCATTGCCTCGGGTTTGAGTCTAGCTGGAGGTAAAGATAAGACAAGCGAACTTGAAACTGCAGTTCAAACTAGAGGATGATACATTCTGGAAAGCAAGCCATGTGAAATTCAATAAAAAAATCAGACCCATTTATATAACCGTGGAAAAATTCGACTACTTTTCCTTCATTAACTTAAGCAAAATAGAGTGAATACAGCAAAAATGGAGTAACACTATCAATTTTGTCCTACATATTTTATCCTGTAGATATGGAATATTGACAATAAGAACATTTTGGGTGTGAAAATGATTGAATAATCTCGTGATCATAGGTAGAGATACTAATTAATTGCGTCAAATAAAACAGATTGACGCCGATCAATAAATCCTTAAATTACTCAATCTAAATCCCTTCAATTAGTCAAACTTGAAGGAAAATAGAATTATGCACTTAAGACGAAATAAATCAAATTTTATGACTTCGCTGAAATTGTTTGGACTAGAATAAAAAGGCTATCTCGTCTTATCCCATATATAAGGAAGCTCATTTTCAAGCTAATAAATTTTTAATCGGAGATATGGAGACCAAGATTGTATGGCCATTTGTGTGGTCGAAATCTCCTTTCGTTGTATAGAGGTTGTTTGACCTTGCTTTCGAAACTGGATCATATTAGTAGAAAGACTTAGAGCAACGCACCTAGTCCGGATTTTATTGTAGGTATGATAATTTCCAGTCGGATCGTGGTACATTTCCAGACGTTTCACCTGCATCGTCAATGCGTCTTGCCATTCTTAACACCACACTACAATGCGTCAGAGACAAGTGAAGTCGATCCTTTGACCAAATGCGTGCTAGACAGTTGTGTTATGTCTCATTATGTCCTGGAATATTCACCTTTTCTATATCCTTGTATCACGCCTTCACTATCACAATTTTTCCGTGTTTATTAAATCTAGTGTGCTGTGCCCTTTTAGGCGGCTTTCATGAGAACCCTCCACACTCCACGCTGACGTTTTCATCCCCCTTAACCTTTGTGCTTGGAATGTTGATCCGTCAGCCATATTGTTACGCAGTCCTCCTTCCCTAGGTCTTATCAGTCTCCATCTTGCCCCATAGAATCCGTCTGTTATCTCTTTGATTCAAGTATTTTACTTGACTTGGCCACCTTATATGTGCTACTCGAGGCGTTATTACCCATCTCTTACGTCTGGGTGACTAATTTTAGGCTAGAGCCTCTGAGTAAGTCTCATGATCAAGTCTTTGTTAAGTGGACCACGTTTATGCTAAAACAGGCCTACCTTCAGCCAACTAGCTCTAGTCAACGCCGCCTAATCAAAGCCAGCAGTACGACACCATTTGTGAGTTGGCATACATGAGACTAGGGCATAGCAAGTCATAGACTTGGTATTATGGATAGAAACACGATAAATTTGGCGGAGACTAGAGCTAGTTGGCTGAAAGTAGGGCTGTTTTACCAGAGATGTGGTAGCAAAGACTTGACCATGAAGCTTACTCAGAGGCTTTGGCTTCGAACTAGTCACCCAGACACAGGGGATGGGTAATAACGCCTCGAATAGCATAGATGGGATGGCAGGGGCTGAGTGAAATAATTAAACCAGGGAGATAGCAGAAGGATTGTACGGGGCAATAGGGAGATTCTGATAATACCTAGGGAAGGAGGACTGCGTAACAATATGGCAGACTTATCGAAATTCCCAGCACAAGGGTGAAGGGGGGTGAGAACGCCGGCGTGATGTGTGGAGGGTTCTTATGAAAGCCGCTCAAAAGGGCACACGACACTAAATTTAAATGAACAAGGAAAAATTATGATAGTGAAAACGTGCTACAAGGATATAGAAAAGATGAATAGCCCAGGACAGAAAGAGAGATACCACAACTGTTAGCACACATTTGGTCAAAGTAACGGATTCCCTTGTCTCTTTGACGAGTTGTAGTGTTGCGCTAAGAATGACAAGACTCACTGACGATGCTGGTGAAACGACTGAGAATGTACCTCAACCACGGTCCGACTTTCGAAATTAACATGCATACAATGGACTCCGGACTAGGTGCATTATTTTAAGCCCTACCATAAATATGATCAAGTTGTAAAAACAAGGTCAAGCAACGTCTAATAAAATTTTGTTCCATAGCTTAACATTAGAGTTTACTAATGAGTTATATCTAGGCTAGTAAATACCCAGGTAAACATTAAATGTCGAAGACAAATCTGGTTCGCCTTGAAGATTAAACCCTCTAGATTCACAAAATGCCTTTGGCTGGCATATGTAGCCATATATGCACACATTAATGCCAAAATTGGAGTCATCACTGAATGTATTTGCTTTCCTTTTAGCATACCTCCTCTCTATATTATTCAATAGCGGTGAATTCTACGGCTCTTAGCATTTTGCTACAGTTGCTATTATGTTGTTGCAAGATATAAGATACCTCACGAAATTACCGGTCTTTTGAGACATACGAGGCTTTTCTAAATTGCTACACACTGAGGAAATTGGATTTCCAGGCAAATACAGATGTTGAAATCAATTAATATATCCATTAACATATCCATTCACTTTAAATTTTAAAACAAGAAAAAGCATTTAAGATTAGTGGAAATTAAATGAAAAATACCCCTAAATCCGAATACAATATTAAGTATCAGTAACATTAAGCATAGCAAAAATTAGAAAAGTACCTCAGCAACCATGCTTGTTTCGACGGATACTCTTTTGTATTGGACTTTTTCCTAGTGAGGAAAATAAGGAATTAAAATAAAAAGATATAACCATTCAGTGAACATAATATGAAATATGTAAATATAATTACGTAAAACTATGCGACAATATCTAGTGAGTAAAACTTGAGTTTTATGTAGAGAACAAATTCTATACCTTTTTGTGACTGACAGGTCCAGTAGATATGCGATTCAAAGCGAATGCCCGGGAACCTTTGAGTGATGAAGATCGAACTGCAGAACTGGTGCATGGATGCAATTCATGCTCAAAAGGAGTCTTGACGCATGCCGTTTCACGATCAATAGCGTCAGTAGCAATATTTGCTTGAGAACTGGGCTGAGAAACGCTAAGAAAGTAGAGACAAAATGCATCAGAGAAGTTAAAAGGTAAATAGCATTATAGCGTTCATACATTATTTCACCAGAGTTTCATGATTGCTTTGGTAATGGACCTCGAATTAACTAAGAGTAAAGGCGTTTGATTAGAGTCGACATTGAGGCCAAATATACTAGACACTTTAAGACGATTTTAAGATACAAGGATGAAATGATTTAAATTGACTTAAATTAGTCAAATCTTAGTAGCCGACGATTTGGTTTCAATTCAGGACTAGCATGTGGCTCAGAGACGTCAGCGCAAGAACTTCTTATGAGAATTAAATAGAACATAAAAAAATCAGCGAGAACAATTTAATCGAAGGTATGAATACCAAGATGGTGTGGCCTCTTGTGTGGTCACAGTCTCCTTTCATTGTATAGAGGTATGATAGAGGTTGTTTGACCTTGTTTTCGCAACTTGGTCATGTTGGTAGGGAGACTTAGAGGAACGCACCTAGTCCGGAGTCCATTGTATGCATGATCATTTCTAGAGTAGGACCGTGGACGTGGTATATTGCCAGACGTTTCGCCGGCATCGTCAGTGAGTCTCGCCATTCTTAGAACCACACAACAACTTGTCAAAGAGACAGGTGAAGCCGATCCTTTGACCAAACGTGTGCTAAACAGTTTTAGTATCTCTCCTTCTGCCCTGGGCTATTCACATTTCCTATACCTTCCTGTCAAACCTTAATTATTACAATTTTACCGTGTTTATTCCGATGTAGTGTAGTGTGCTCCTTTGAGTGGCATTCATGAAAACCCTTCACACTCCACGCTATCGTTCTCACCCCCTTCATCCTTGTGCTGGGAATGTTGATCAGAGTCTGCCATATTGCTACGCAGTCCTCGTTCCATAGGTCTTATCACAGTCTCTCTCTTGCTCCGTAAGATCCGTCTGCTCTCTCCCTGGTTCGCGTATTTCACTCGACCCCTGCCACTCCATCTGTGCTACTCGAGGGGTTATTCGCCCTCCCCTGCGTCTGGGTGACTAATTCGAGGCTAAAGCCTCGTATCATCGTCAAGTCTTTGCTACATGGACCATGTCTATGGTACAATAGACCTTCTGTCGGCCAATTAGCTCCAGTCTCCGCTGCGTCTAT